TTCCGAAATAAAAAGCCATATTTTTTTTTACAAATGACAAAAGCTTTTATAAATTCAGCCAGTATATAACCTAAAAGAAAACAATGTGTTTGGTAGCATAAGTGCAAGTTTTTAAAAGCTGTTGAAAAAACCAGAACCTGTTGTAGCATGTTTATACCCAGTAAGGAAGTTCATACATAAATATAAAAGCAAAAATAAGTATTGTAAGGACGATTAACTTCACCTCACATAACTTAATCGAACAAAGTAACTTAGAATACTTTGTAGTGAATTCATGCAAAAACAATTCTCAGCTTTCGAATAGATACAATTCTAGGAACATCCTCTAAATAAAAAACGACTCGATTTAAAATAAACACGTCAAAGATTTATTAAATAAATTATAATTATAGAGATGAATCTACTATGCCAAACTTTTAAGTTATAAATGTTGCCTACTATGTATTAGAAAGAGGAATAAAAGATGTCACATTTCATCTGAAATACGTTTATGTTTGATTAAAAACGTTATAAATTTAAAATTTGCTATAATTCGAAAATTTAAATAAATTGCACATAAAATATCTCCGTTTTGACAGGACATGTGAGAAAGCTAGATAGATATGGAGATTGTCTGACATTTATAACACCGCTAAAATAGACACAATGAATTATTGACGTTTCGCATAACAACATAAATTGATTAATAACACTGGCAACATAAAACATGAAATAAATAAAAAAAACATTGTCTATGGTATGTCTAAAAAGTAAGCAAAGAATTGGAACAAAATTATGCTTTCAAAAGACAAAACGTTTCTAGACTTATCAAGCGACTAATTAAAAACTTAATAATTAGCCTATATATTCTTTCAGACTGTTCTACATCTGTGTCAATTCATCGAGATCCGTTCAGCCTTTAAGGAGATACCTTCAAACCAATGCCCTTCCATTTAAACATTCGCATTTATAATATTAGTAAGATATAATTTGTTGAGCGTTGAATGCATCGTATATTTGTCGTCTTGAAAACATCAACTGTCGATTACTTGTACACTTTACAAAGGTACGTTTTGCATAAGAATAGTTAAAAGAACAGCTGTCTCGCCATCTGTGTACTGACGCTTTGTGTAATGTTCCATTACAAATATCAAATCAACTAATCTAAATTAAATGTTAAACGTACGAGTCAATTGATTTTTTTATATCAAAAGGTGGCAAACGAGCGAGCGGCCACCTGAAATCGCTGAAAATATATTCCCTTTCCATGCATCCTCTCATCCGGAAAGTCCACTTCGACTTCCCATCCTTTCCTTATAAAGAAAAGGATGGGAAGGGAAAGAGGACTAAATTAGGCCTCCGGGACGCACACTCATCAGACAAAACGCGGAATTGCTTCCACTTGATGCCTGTTGTCTGTGTGGTCGTGGTATTTCACCGGGCGAGCCGGGCCGATTCGTGCGAAGATGTTAAAGCGGGCTCTACCACTGTTAAATATTAAATAATATATTATAAATCAATTGTCACAAACTAACCGCGGCTTTCTAAAGATAATCACTAATTTAAGACATATTGATATCTTTGTTTTGTCAATAATAATGACATGGATATATTTTATACAGATATTTTGGTCTCGGAAACCAACGGTAAGACAGTTTTTTTGGACGTTTTAGTTTTTTTTTGTAAAAATTAAAAACAGTATTTATCTTTGAATGAAAAAGCTTGTAATCAAAAACAGAGATTCAATGAATAAATGAGTGAATGGATGACGGATGTGCAGTAATCGTGTCTATGTATTTTAGTCTTTGCCAGCCACAGAGTATTATTTCAGACACGTCATATGTATGAGATAATGCTTATTTGTAATGCATGATCATGTGCGGTGATCTGTGAACTTATAAAAAAACAAATCCCATAACATACAGATAACAAATGTTATGACGATTACAAACTGACAGATTAAAAATAAATAACGTACATTTGCGAAGGATGTATTGTTTCTTATGCGAATTGTGACAATCGTGATAATTTTAACACTGAATAATATGCATCAACTTTTATTTTATTTTTAAAGTTTATTGATGTTGCATGGAGACATTTTTATTTTTATGCTGTTGTTTAGGGCTAATCTTACTAATATTATAAATGCGATTGTTTGAATGAATGGATTGATGTTTGTTAGAAGGTATCTGAGAAGGTGTATCTCTATGAATCTAGCTGAAATTTACCATAGAGAAAGGAGACCACGAACCATTACCATAGACTACGAATTAAGTTTTTTTAACACGGACGGTGTCGCGGGCTACTGCTAATTGATAATAGTTATAAAATGGTAAAACAAGTAGAACAATTGCGATTAGTTCTCTGTTTACGATGTTAAAAATATTATTTGATTGAAAAAAATAAAAAGTTAAACCGAAAATTTACGATCCATCTTCGAATCATTCCCATCACGATCAGCGAACGCATTAGAATATTAAAAAAAAAATATCACCGGTAGTCTTCTCACATAAATTACAAACGATGCGTGTACACGTATGGGAACAAGAGACTAAACAATAGAGGAAATCTTAATAAATGATCGAATTCAAAATAGGGGTCGCAAGACATTTGAATCTCATGAATTAACCCTTTCAAAACGACACCTGGCCGTTTAGTCCCGGAGTCAAAAATCTTTTATCGCATTAGAATAATATTTATAATATTGACAATAGGATGCGTTATTCAAAGCAGCTTGAGCGGCGGTTTATACCACGGTAGCTTTTATTGTGAGATAAAGGACGCGACACAATGATGCACTTTGCTTACAAGATTTCTACGCAATAGCGATGCAATATCTATCGATTACATTGTTATTGAAACCTTTTTATAATCCTAGAGACACAAATGCAAGCAGCCATATCCAGTTATTCACTGTTTTATTTCTATGTAAGTTTATAGTAATAAGTTTCTATTTCGTCAGAACACATGTTAAATTTTTTAAACACACTGACGAGTGCATTGACCTTTAAGTGCAAATAAGACTACGTTAGTGCGTCATACGTTTTTGTTTTGTACTTCATAACTATAATGAACTGTCATTTAATTGTGAAATTTGTTAGCTAAAATTTTGCTTATATTATAAATGCGAATATTTGGATGGATGTTTGTTTGAAGGTATCTCCACTGCTGCATGAATCTTGCTGTAATATGGCATAGATGTAAAATAGTCTGGAAGAGCACATAGGTTGCTAATTAAGTTTTTTAATACCGCGCGGATGGAGTCGCGGGCTACAGCTAGTTGATAATATTTTTGTAAGAACTTTTATTTATTTTATTAATTATAAATAAGCACTTAAGTACTTTCTTTGAAGGTTTTCTGACTAAAATAACTACATTTATACATAAAAGATAACCACAGCGTTTTATATTCCAGATTTAAAGCTTTGACAACTATAAATGTCGACGTAAATTATAAAAGATTAAATATAACGGTTGTTATCTTTGTAGTCTAGAATAAAATAGTACGACTTAAGAAAACTAATGGCATATAGGAAACTTAAATTAGACGGCAACATAAAAAGATAAAGTGCTTCAAAAGCGTTGAAAAGTATCGGTTGCATTTCATTATCTAGTACCGAGGTCACTATAAAAAACCCTTTTAACCCCATAACAGATCGATCTATTGTCTAGAAACCGTCAAATGATACGGATTAGTTTTTTTATGCCGCGTTATGAATACGTTTAAAACAGGAAGGATGTGAAAGTTGGGGGTATAAAAGACACCGTATGGCGGGAAAGGGTTCCAGCTCGGACCGGCTGTATACAAAGAAACGTTCATAATACGTGAAACATTAAGAAATGAATTATTACGGTCGTTCATTGTTGTTCATATTTTCGATTTTCTTTTGTCAATCGTATAAATAGGTTACAGACGTTTTAATAATTCAATGCAATCATTAGTGATGATTAAAAAATGAGTAACAATCATTCGAAATCATTTAATTATGATTTATATTATTCGAATTTCGACCTTATTCCTTACTTGATTGGAACGAAAATACATCACGTGATTTTTAATTAATTTAATACGAATATTAAAAACATATTTCTTTTACCCAATTGATCAAATGTTTCATAAATTTTATAAGCAATGTTTTCAAAGAAAAAAAAATTGGCAAAAGAAAATGAATGATTAAGTTATCTTATCGCGACAAGCGATAATTTGTAGGACATCTGTTACATCGGGCATCGTCAGCGCCATCAATCAACTTGTTTATCTACAACTTTCTCCTTGAAACATCCCCACTTATTGTACGGGACATTCGTCATATCACGCTTTAAATAATACCGCACACGTAGCTCGAAACAACTCTTTAATATATATTTTTTAATCTATAAGTTTACTATCTGTCGCCCGCGACTCCGTCCGCACGGAATTTAAAACAAACTTGATAGCCTATATGGTCTTTCAGATTATGTTCTACAGATATGCCAAATTTCGGCGACATCCATGTAGTCGTTCCGGAGATACCTTCAAACAAACATCCATCCATCCACCTAAACATTCGCATTTATAATATTAGTAAAATTTATAAATTCAGCCACATAAAAATAGCGACTAAAGCTTGACAGCGTAGATATTCTATTTTTAAAATTTAAAAATACAGATTGACAAAAATTAACCAAATACTGGCACAAAATTCAATATAAAAAAAAATTGTAGGTCCCGATGGTAATACGTTGAAGATAAGATTGTCTAAACCGCGACCGTTTAGGGATCAACTGATTTTGGCCATAATTTGACTAACATATTCACTAAAGTAATACGTAGCTTCGATAAGGCCCAACAAAAACTGCTACCGCGGTCAGATTCGAACTCGGTTACACCAAGAACGCACAGGCCACTCTTGTCCCAAGACAACATAGGCTATGAAACCGCTTTAAGAATGGTTGAAAATTAGCGATGGACATTTAATTTTACGTCATTTGAATATGAACAATGTTAATTGTTAAAATTATAATTAGAAAAAAGTATTTACCTTGTATGAAGTTTCTATTGTGATGTCATTTTTGTAATCTGTAACAAAGTAATATTAAATTAATTATGATGTCAAAGTTATAACAATGACAAATTGATAATACAGTGCTTTAGTACTAAAATAACATTGTGAAGGTCAATTACTAATAAATGTCATATCAGATTTAACGTGTTACATGCACTGAAAAGCATTTTTAGCTTATTTCCTGATTAATACGCGATAAATAGTTCTAATTTTTAATTAAAAAAAGTATCTTATTAATAATTTCCTACGCAATTTTTAATAAAACATGTTAAAAAAATCTTTTTCTCAGGTACCATAGATTAAAAAGTTTGACACATAACCTAACCTCTTTTTTAAGTAAACAGTTAATTACTAAGTTGCTTAGTAATGTACGACAGTATGATTTTTTACTGCGTTCAATATTTGATCAAATTGTTGGTTAATTTGGTTTCATTTTAAATGTTTACTTTTTTTTTTAAAGACATACGAACTAGAACATACAATAGTCATATTAATAATAGTGTTATATGAAGAAGCTTTCGCTAAACACTTGCGATTAACGGCTCGATACAAAAGGCAGTTATCCTAGAAACCGTACGCATCGTGAGAAGTTTCCTGTCTGCAGTCCTGACCACTGGTTGTTTGAGTCATGGGATTCCGCAGCCGGTGGTGCTCTATTTCAAATATAATATTATATATTTTGTATGTTTTTTATTTTGGATATGAAATATAATATATTAAAAATATGGTGAAAAAAACATGGAACATTATTATTTGTTACCGTCACTATTAAACTCATTATAATAAAATAGAATATAATAAATGAAGAATTGCTTAGTTTATTGCGAGCATGAGCACGAAAATTTAATAAATATTCATCACAGCGTCGACATTTCTAAATTGTAAAGGTTAAAGTTATATGTTTTTTGTGTAAACCGTTGCACAGATAATATATTTAAAAAACCAACACGTCATTAAATCGTACAGAAGCGGTAGCAACTAATTAATAATATGAATATGAATACGTGTCTTGTGAAATTTTATCACGCCTTTGACTTGTCAACGTATACGTCCCATCCATCTTTGTCTAACTCAGCTTATCGTTCGCAAATATCTACGTGTCGAGGGCGAAGTATTATTTATTTATGCATAGAATGCATCTAACTTATCAAAGGTTACCTAGCTTGTATCATGCCTTATTTATCACTAGCTATCGCCCGCGATTATGTCCGCACTATTAAAAATAAAACTTACTAAGTAGTCTAAGTTTTATACCAGATGATGTTCCTATATCTATGCGAAATTTCAGCGAGATCCATACAGCCGTTCTAGAGATACCTTCTAATAAACATCTATCCAAACATTCGCATTTATAATATTAGTAATATATTAAGATTATATAGTTTGACATTTTTATATAAAATTTTGGTAATCACCCTTAACTTAGGGTAGGCTCCGAGCCCCTCGGTGGGGACGTATAGTGAGCTGATGATGATGAATTAAAAGTCATTGAACTTAAAATTATCAGGTTATTCGAATATATAGCTATGTCATCTTTAAAAATAAATGTTAACAAAATCACACAGAGTATTTGACAACCTTAAATCTCCAGCAAAATTTTAATGGCAGTCCTTCAAATATGGATGTAAATCATATTTCACGTATCTATAATAACCAAATATTTTAAAATGATACCTAATTTTCTTTTTTTTAAATAAAGAATCTTATTGCCAGCATTGTTGATTAAAAATATTTTTTTTTGTAACTGGCTGTAAAAGGCGCATACTGGCTGTAAAAACTTAAGCGTTAAATTGCTCGAAATCCATTACAAGTAATATTTTTATTCACTTAAAAGGATATCAATAAAAGCTTGTAAAATAAACGTTTAATAGCAATTATTTCTCAAGAACTAGTTAAATTAATTCATAATTAAAACACTAATAGATATCATTAATTATCTATCAAGTTTTTTCTTGGTTCTTACTATTAAATAACAAATATGTCGTATTTTTAAACATTAATTTGTAGATATTTTTAATTGAAGGTCATTTATTTTTGTACATCGAATAATTTTAGAAATAATTTTCTATGTTACCAAGTAATTTAATCTGACGTAGTTAACCTTGAACTTGGCGAGAGAGTAAGTAAATTTTTTATCTTAAAAATATCAAATTGCCAAAATTAACTTCGTAAAACTGGATGATGTAATATTGCTTGGAATATGACCCAAAAATTGTAAATTGATAACTGATTACTTTCTTTTTTTTAAATACAGCTTTTGATTGTCAGCATTTTTTATGAAAAAGGTGCTTTTTATTTTTTTATAACTGGCCACACAACAACTTTTTTTTAAGAAGTGATAGTGATATTTTAAAAAATGAGTATTTTTTCTTATAAAAATCTATACATGAATTTTTCAAGATGATTTAAGGGCGACTTAAATAATTGCTTCTATTAAAAATGACATCTAAATATCCAATTTAAAAGCTTAACAAAATCAAACCTCTTGCTTTAAAAAACAACAATGCATTTTGAGGTTAGAAAAAAAGCCACTTGGAACTTACAAGAATGGGAAATTAAATTACAATAGTTCTACAAGTTTCGAAGTGATAATAAAAGGTAATGCACCGACGTGATTGTCCCTTTGTGTGTTCGGGCTATGGGTTTCTATTCAATCCCTTTGTGTCGCAGACAGTAATGAATTGCCTGTTACTTTACGACTTAAAACATGTTGTGACAGATCTTATTGACTCATACGAACGTGATACGAAAATAGAAAAAAAAACGTCTACGTTGAAACGTGTAACTAAGTTAAGTGAGATATTGTACAGGTCTTTAAGGAATGACCGTGCGCTTCTGAGACTAAAATCTTAAAGACTTAAGTCCGAATCAAAACGGTTTATTACGAAACAATAACGGAATAATCTTAATTTCACTCTTAGATTACTACTAGCTGTCGCCCGCGACTCCGTCCGCGCAGGATTAAAAATAGATCTTGGCCGATTCTCAGAGCTACTCAATATGCTCACAAAATTTCATGAGAATCGGTCAAGTTGTTTCGGAGGAGTTTGGGAACGAAGCTTGTGACACGAGAATTTTATATATAAGATATTTTAGTCACCGATCGTACACAAACTATTTGAAAATGCTGTAAAGAGTATTTTTATGATGTTGTGGTGAAATGTATAATATAAAACTAAAAATCATAAAATTTACGTATTTAAATGTGTAATAAAATTTAATCCAAAGGTCGAAAGCCCCGAAATTCATTAATATAGTGTCATGCAACGCCCTTGAGTAGAAAACGAGAACGACTCTCCGACGTCGACGGCAATAAATAATAATACTGGCTCACAATGCACTCGATGTCTCTGTTTAATTACCTGTCAAAATGTCTGACATCTAACCTTTACAAGTGGGCGAATAAAAAGAAATAGATTCTTAAAAAAATAAACACAATTTTTACCGCTTCTTTCCTGCCAGTGTTAAAACTGTCAAAGAAACTTTACAAAAAAGTTTTTGTGGCACTAACAGTAAAAAAGATGAGCATTTTAAATTGATATCAAGTTTTTTTTTAATCTTTTGTACTTCAACTTATATGTTAATATTGCGGATTCAATTTAAAACATATTCATTGTAACAAAATTACCAAAATGAATGTAATTAATTTAATATTTTATAAAATAATACACGGTCGTAAATTATTCAAACACAATAATTCATAGACAATTTTTTATATCGCGCAATGATTGAACTGACATTTACGTGTTTTAAAAATAGTGTTTGCGATTGTTGTATTGACATCAATGACCTTTGTCGGTTCAATAACGATACATCGATATGTTAAAGTAATAATGAATCGAATATCTATTTATATAAATAACGTTAAGTTTTTTGTAAGTTTTAAATTACTGTGTAATCCTACTGCAAAAACACTTGTACAAAAATAGTAATTTTATCTCTGTCTATCAGTAAATCTAGACATGTAGTTAGATACTGCCCCTCTACTGAGTACACGACTCGGGTCGACGATTCAAAGTCGTGTACGGGAGCGCACGCGCGATACCCGATTCCAAAGATTTTTGTTGCCATGTGTACGAAGGACCTAAGTTCATAATGACTTCACCGTATGACAAAAGTCCATAGTCCCTGTCACTTCTAGCTAAAAAAAATACTTTAGCCTAGACTTCAACTGTCGTAACATTCCTATTGTTGTCTCTGTTTTGTCTATAGGAAATGAAAAGGATAGCAATAAGTTTCAATTGTCAATGCAGTGCTCTGCTATGATAGCCTAGACACCGTAGGTGTTCTATTCCGAGCCGTGACCGCGCGTGACTCATATCACCTACATTATTGTAACAAACATGTTTTCCTTCATACTATCGTGTTTGTCCATTGGTTCAATGTTTGCCGTTCGCTTGCTGAAAATTAAAGTGCTATCGTATGTGTTTTTATAAAGTAATGATTAATTTAATTGTTTCAAATAATGGTATTAAAATCGCTTTGATGCGGCACACCACTTTTCTTTTTAAATAAAAGATTGTTGGCTGTAGCAGATTTTGATCCTAGGAATTTTATACTCAAAGACGACTACTGAACCATTTGCCTTATTTATATAATAAAATATTGTAACAACAAAGTAATAAATATAAACAATTTTATTTTGTTTAATATTTAGTTTAAAGTTGCAAAAAAAGTGCTTAAAAAATCAAACTTATAAAAACGTGGCAGACCTTTTTCTACATGTAATTTGTTACACATATAAAAACTAAGCTACTACGGTTCGAAAGGAAATTAAGCATAAAATGATACTACACTAAGGAAGACCCTTAGCGATAAATTAACGGCCATAAGACAGGTAGTAGTCAGTCATTTACATGTATCTTTCTTATTAACAAAATACAGTAGCGTAAATGCATTTGCCAAGTAGCATCTTGTTTTATGATGTAATATTATCTCTCGACAATACCATGTTTGGTTTTCATAATTGAAAACACATATTGCAAACTACACAGCGGCAGAAGATATTTAACCT